TTTTCTAGATTCTTGAATCTTTTGGAAGTCTTTGAAAGGCATTTTTTCTTATCAGTTTTTTTTCTATAAAGGTGTTTTTGCCATAGATCTTTTAGGTGGATTTCTTGTATTTAGTTGCAGAAATAAACAAAAAAAGTGATTTGAAAAAGAAAAATAAAACAAGTAATGGCTTCTGCTCGCTTGGCTGGTTATAATCAATATTGTTTTTAAAGAAAGTGTATAGATTTTATTATCATAAAGACAAAAAATCTTTTGAGAATGTCTGTTTTTTGGGTTGGCAAAAGGATCAGTGAAAAGAGTTGTAGTTTTATTAGTTACTATCTAATTTTCTGACAAATTATTATATCTTAAAAAATTAAATTTAATTATATCTTCTGAAATCTTGGATTTATTAATGAATATTATGAAACTTCTTATAAAATCATGAACTTTTAAAGGTTATTTATTGAAGATATTAATAATAATTCAATAATTGTTTAAAATAAAGTTAATTAATATAGAAGATATTGAATTGGAAGCAAAATTTTAATTCTGTTATGTTATCATAACATATAAAAGGTTCATTTGTTTTAGTCCAATTTGTGAATCATAATGAAAGTATTAATTTATATCTAAAATAGGTTTAATTTTTCTTTACTTATTTGATTAACTTATTAAATAATGTGACAAAACACAATTTGATTTTTATTTGATAGTTTATACCTATTAATTTGACAAATATCAGGTTTTATTTTAGATCTAAAAATGATATGAATATTAAATTATGAAGTATAAATTTTATCTAATTAGATATGAATGTATAATTTCTATTTATAATATTTATAATTGATTTATTTCATTTAAATATAAGATTTTAAATTAACAAGATTCTCACAAATATTTAGCTATTATTTCTTTAAATCACAAATACAATATATAAAATTTTATCAAAACATATATAATTTGACAAATATATATATATTTAACAAGGTAATAAATATAATTTGACAAAATAATATAATTTAGTAATATATATTTGGCAATATAATATAATTCATCAAAATAATATAATTCATCAAAAGTAATATAATTCAATAAAATCAAATATATATATATATTTGAAGCAAAAATAAATTATTTATTTTATTGTTAAAATATTAATTTCTTTAAAATAAGATTTAAAAAAAAGTATACTATTTATATATCAAATAAATTATATACTGTTTTACAGCCAAAGATAAAAGTTATATAAATTAATAATTAATCAAATTATATACTTTTTTGACAAATGATTGATGAGTGACATTATGCTGAATAAATTAATTTTAACTAGTGTATATATTTGAAAATTTAGAAATATTATTCACTATATTATTGATTTATAGGTTTTTAAAAATAAATCAATTCAATCTAATTTATATAAATATAGTTTTTATTAAATTATCTTATTTTAAATTTAAATTTATTTTTTAAATTATAGGATATTTTTTTTATATTATTTAAAATTTTTTTAATTAAAAAATTGTTTATTATTATTTTTTTAAATAATTAAAATATTTTTAAAAGAATTTATATAATTTTAGTTTTAATTATATATTATTTCTTAATAATATTTATTTATTTTTTATTTAATAAAAATTTAAAATTTAATTATAAGCAAAATTTTTAATTTTTAAAATTAAATTTCATATAATTTATATTTAATTTTATAGAATTGTTTGTAAAAAATAATTTTAATTTGTATTAGAAGTAAAATAATTTTTTTATTTTAAACATATACTAAATTTTATATAATTTTTTATATTAAAATTTTAAATTCAAAATTCAAAATTATTTATTTTAAAAATTTCTAATAAAATTTTAATTTTTTACTTAATAAAGTTAATTAAAAATATCTTAAATTATATTTTTATAATATAAATAAATTATAAAAATCAATACAGTATTACAAAGATAAAAATTTCTATTAAAAAATCCTCGAAATTTTTGAATCACATATAAATACTAATGTTTGAACTCGAGAGACTTTACTTCCCATACACCTCCGTGGAATAAAACAACTGTGAAACAATATTCCAAAAATTTCATATGTAATACATGAGGCGGAATCGCTGATCACGTGATGATTACTCGCGACATTTTATTGCGATGCGACGCGTGAGAATCCTAATAATCTCAATCATATCCACGCCTATGGTGCGAAAGTTGAACACATAAAATTGTCAATTTATTTATTGTAGGTCAAACACTGAACTTTTTATCTCTTTGTTCAAAAGCAGGCACATAAATATTTCGAACGAACACACTCTGAGTGGGATATTGTAGATTTTCTAAACGATTCAAATGAGAGCGAGTTTCAAGATCTAGATCTCAGTCAGAAGATAGGAATTTATCTAAAGTCTCTCGAGGCCATCATGGATGCCGATAAAGGACAAAGAGGTAAACGAGCAAGGGAATTGTATGATAGATATAAACAGGCAAGTTTTACTTTTGTTATTTTGGTTAAAAAAATATAGAGAATATGGTGGCGTGGTGGAGGATCTATGGGTCCTGTATCATTCAAGTCTATAGGGCGAGCTACGAAGTCGGTGTTGGGGCGGGGGCAATCTATAGGGTTGTCTTACGTTCAAGACTAAAGGTTGACCTGGCACTGACCCCACTGGGGCGTGGGCAATCTATAGGGTTGTCTTACGTTCAAGACTAAAGGTTGACCTGGTGGGATGGAAATAGAATGGAGAATCGTGAAATACCAGTACAGGATACTACTAATTTTTAAGTCTCTTAGGATTCTCAGCCCGATCGTAAACGAGCAAAGGAATATGATCAAAAGCGTGGACTAGTATCTAGACCTTCAATTCATATTAACAATTCAACAATCGCGGGTAATATTCAAGGAACTGGGATCATTGAAGACACTTCGCGTAAGATCATAGAACCAGGTAATTCGTTCAAACACATCTAATTATGTATTTAACCTTTTCTTATTGTACGAAGTAATAGCTTTGAAGCGGAAGAAGTTATCCAAAAACTGTTTAAGTGAGAAAGACCTAGTTATAGATGCTGAAAATAATCCGTTTTTTGTCTCCGAGCATGGAAAGGGTTCGAACACTAATCGAAACGAGGAGGATGAGGTATGGCAGTTGCATTCAGAACGTTTTTATCAAAATTCGGACTATTTGTAGCAGTCAATATCCAAGATTGTATATATTTGGTTTAATCCTTTTTCCTGCGAACAACACATTAAATATGTATATTCACAGGAGGTATTAAATGAAGAAATCAAATTACCAACTCATACAAGTAAAAAGGTAAAAATTATAAGAGACTAAGTTAAGAGAACATAAAAAGCTCATGCGTATTTTCTGTATTTAGACGAAAACAAGTGTGACTAGTGCCCCAAACACCAGGCCAAGAAACGATAGCGAAAAGTCTTTTTCTTCTGATGTAGAGCCTGAAGATGACGAAGAAATAAAGTTCGACTTTACAGATATTGAAGAGGAGTTGCAACGGAAGCCGATCAATGAGGTATGCTACGTCAAGATCCTTGTTCTTGTATTCTGAATATCTCACGGTTTGCTTCTGTTTTTTAGTGGAAAGTTGGTGCCATCAACGTATCACGAAGATTTAGACAATATCAGATAGAGGTACTTGGAAAGGCGAAGACTAGCGGTTTGAAATACGATAACATTTATGAAATCTTGTAAGTATTTAGAGACATGTAACATTGACTATAATATGAGATTACATTGAGCATTTTTCCTTGTTTGCTTTAGAGCCTTATCATCAATAATGGTATTCTGCTGGCCCTGCCCGTATCCCATGTTTACCATTCAAGAATGGGAGGAAATTACGGTAACTAATCCATACAAGATTCAAGAATCACCACTTTCACAGGAGATTTTATCATCCTTTCGCGAAGCATATTGTAACTATTTTCTTGGTAATGATGTCTTCATGAATGGGGGTAATTCGAAACTAAGTAGAGCAGTCGCATGCGCTTTTAATGATCTGTAAGTTTACTCATTTTATAATATCTTATACCCATAAATTTATAGCTCAATTCTTTTTTTACCACATTTACAGGTATAACAGCGTCCCAGATGTTGCACCACCAAAGATGTCCGAGGATGAGCACTGCTACATGTTTCTTCATCCTATCTCTCGTCCATTATTTGCTGGTTCGAGAAAAGAATATGAACTAATACTGAATCGTGCCAACACAGGTTCAACAAAAAGACCAGACCTGTCTTGCACAGTAGATCGTGTACCGATTCTAAACTCGGAATTTAAACCTGTTGGTTGCACACCATTACAACGTAAGAAAGACGGGCTGAAAGTACAGTTAAAAGCACGAAAATCGATAAACCAACAACTACAAAGAAAAGGAGGTCCAGGTGAAGCCGTCATATTATTAAACATGGGTAAGTCATGAGATATTACATGAAAGGTTATTATTTTTGTATTAATAACTCCTGTGATAACTAGGCGATTTGATGCAATCATATTTTATGGATTTGAAATATGACGGACTATATTGTTCCTGGTCGTTCCTAACTACAAAAATGGTGATTGATAAGGCCTCAATTCCTTTAGCGGATTTTTCAATTCGTCATCTTGTAGCTCTAGAAGTATGTATATATTTTTTGAGTTGACAATAATGAATTTTGCTCATACTTTCATTTGCTCTCTGCAATGTCAGGAACGTATTGGAGAGATCGCGAAGAACTTCAAATATAGAAAGTATCGTGCCGGCAACACTACATCACCTGAACAAATATCATATACACGTAATCTTCCGAATTCCCCTCAGATAAAGATGTTACTTCATTAGTATAAGGATTCGTTTATATGAACATCAATTTAATGTAGAATTTTGAATTTTCCTAATGTCAATAATAAATCATATGTAATCGCAAAATCGGTTGATCAGCGAGGTGATAAAAAAATAAAATTGTTTCCTTAAGCTTATAATGGCACGATCACGGCTGATAAAATAAAGATTTTCCTATGTACACTCCCCTAGCATAAATCACCTGACGTCGATCAAATTAAAAAGAATGAATGAACCAATTTTTTTTTATTTATTTGAAAAAAAAAAAAATTCTATTAAATTCTAGATATTTAAATAATCTATTTATATATTTAATATCTAGTAGGGTAGCGCCTAGATTTTTAACAGCTTCAGTATGCCGGGGCATACTTTTTATCAAATTTTCATAAATTGATTTGTTTATTTTAAACCATTCTTGTAAGAAACTGAACAATTCTGTTTCATTTGTTGGTAGTGGGTTGTGCCTACAAATTCTATGTTCTAATTCATCCCAGAGGTGTTCTATTGGGTTGAAATCTAGGCTTGGGGCAGGTCATGAAAAATGATTAATATTTTTTTCTTCTATCCATTTCTTTACTATATGTGCACAGTGTGTAGGACAATTATTATCTTGGAATATATACTGTAGTTATATCTATTTTCTAAGTATGGTAGTAAATTATCATTAAGTATTTTTATATATTCTTTTGCAGTTTGCCAGTTATTAATTAATATTAATGGTTCTAAACCATCCATAGAAAAACATAAATATTGATACAAGGTAATTTACATCATATTTTTCCTTAAGTAATTTTAAACATAGTCATAACTATTATCTCCATATATTTCAAATTATAATTCATCACTTCAAATAATTGTATCCCATTCAAAAATCCAATTTAATTATTCAATTACCCAATTATAGCAAAATTATTTATTTTTTTTACTAATAAATAGTTTTCTTTTTCCAACTCTAGCATAATAACCTTTGTGAAAATATTTCTATAGAATATACAGTATGGGACAAAAATAATGGCACTTTTTATTTTTGTTATTATTTAATAAATATTTATTTAAATTAAATA